CTGAGATTGAAGGTCAGCCCAGGCAAAACATGTGAGACCTTATCAGAAAAACAAAGCCAAAAGGGCTGGAGGTGTGCGTCAAGTCTGAATAGGAAGAGCAACACCATATGAGTTCAAGCCCAGTACTTCCAGGAAAAAAATAAATAAATCAAAAGAGTAGTAAACAACAGTGGCTCCATTGAGCATGTCATTTGTAATAGCATCATTTTGGAAGATGACATTTCTTCATTTTGTGTTGCAAGTCTGCTGGATTTGACTGGAGCTTATCTACATAGAATACAGATAATGTGACAGGGAAACAAATTATGTTTGGCTAAGATTGTTACCTGAAGGGCATAAAAGAAAGATTATAGAACCATAAAATGGCTTCTTTCCCGGTGAGAAATTCAGTCACCCATGGCTTTCTTATGCCCATGTCCACCATTAAACACATGAAGATATGCCAAATAATGCTTCCTTGGAAGGTTTTAGAATTTATATTACTTTGAGAAGTCAGCTTGTTTTCTCAATGGAATACCCTGAAGGTTTTTTTGAATATCCAATGCATTTAACGCCTATGAAAACTTAAACGGTAGTTTTTCTTGTATTCATATTGTTAAAGACATAAAAAGGGGGGAATTATGCAACTTTTGTCCAGTATGTAATAAATATATTATATTTTTATATGTAATATATAATAAATCTATTAAATTCATTTGTAATGTTAATATCCATTAATGCTGTCATTGTAAATGACAATTTGTAACATACTTTCTGAATAGCTTTCAGATATTAAGAATATTCTGAATATCTTTCAGAAAGTTGATAGTGTATATGAAGCCAATCACAATGACTAGGTTATATGATATTTGCTGCATTTTTTTTACAATGCCTTTTGTTTGAGGCACACTAATTAGACAAACATCTTGACTCAATTGTTACATCTGTCAACTAAGAATATTAAAGGGACAGATACATTTCTTGCCTAGAAGTTAAGTTCTTAAGGGGAACTTTATTCATATTCAGAATCACTCCCACCCTTGAATTGTTTAGATTTTGTTGGTGTTTGTTGGTCATGGGGCTTGAACTCAAGGCCTGGGTGCTATCCCTGAGCTCTTTCCCTTAAGTATAGCACTCTACCACTTTAATCACAGCACCACTTCTAGTTTTCTGGTGGGTAATTGGAGATGAGAGTCTCATGGACTTTTCTTTCTCTTTGTACTTAAGTATGGCTCCTCTTCTCTGAAAACAGAATTTGGATGTCTCATTAAGAGGAAGGTTTAGAATGTCTAGTTTGAGAGACCAAAGGGTTTCTGTAGTCTATTGGTGTCTATTCCTCTCTTCTTCTTCCCTACCCCATAGATCTAGCATAGGTGAATGATTGGGAATAGATAACTATATATCTATATCTATATCTATATATCTATATCTATATGTATATATATATATATGTATATATATATATATATATCTTCTGATTCCCACATCATTGGGTTACTTTCTATCCATATAGTTATCCATATAAATCCTAATTCTGGGTATTATTATTATTTAATTGGTAAGCCTGAGTAACTATACTTTTAGTATAAAAGAAGAAGTGGAGCTGTAGCGCAAGTGGTAGAGCACTGATATTGAGAAAAAAAATTTAAGAACTAGGGACAGCACTCGTTCCCTAAATTCAAGACCCAGGATTGGTGCCCGCCCTCCCCCCCCAACAGGAAAAATGTAAAGATATTTCTACAAGGTTGTTTTAGCAAGGTAGTTTTTTTTTTTAGTAAGATATTTGCACAAAGTAGGTTTATAAAGAAGACAACTAGATTTGAGGAAAAAGTATACTTTCTCAGACTTTTGAGACATTTTCTCAACTTCAGATTATATTGAAGTGTTCCTCAAATGAGAACAGCCAGAACCTCTGAAGAAAATAAACATTGTCAGTAGGCAATTCAGTATTTGAAAGGTTCAAAGATGGAGGGGACAAAGATTGTATCTTCCTATTCTCTCCAGATTCCCCTCTGTTCATTTCCAGGGGGCACAAGTCTTTAATGTTTTGTCTAGTTAAGTGTGTTAAAATACTTAAAAACAATCATAAGAATTGTCAGTCATAATTAGAGCTTCTGTAAGGGGGAACTAGTTTTGATTATACATTGTCAAAAGGTGAGACATTCCCACCCCCAAAAGTATCCTTAGAAAATTTTACAAAATAATAGCTCAGAAGGATAACCATTGAAAAATTTCCAGAGATTTTTGTCATTAAACAGAGAATAACACAAGAAGAATATACATGGTCCTATCTTTCCCTCAGTACATTTTTTTTAGGATTCTGACTTGGTTGCCTTAGTTTTTACTCCTCTTCTTCTCTCTAAAGATCCAGACTCTGCCTTTGAATGCTAGAAAATATAACTAGAGGAGGAAAGAAATGGGAAAGACCGGCACACAGGCAGGAGGGATGGGAGTTTCAAAGAAAACTGGGAAGAAAAAGATAAAGAATTGACATTTGAAAAGATCTATAGAAAAGGGAGCTGGGTGATGGTGGCTCAAGTCTGTTATCTTACTCTTAAGGCTGAGATTTGGAGAGTTGAAGTTCAAAACAGAAAAATCCACAAGACTCCATCTCTAATTAACTAGCAAAATGCCAGAGCGGAGGCATGGCCTCAAGTGGTAGACCACACAATGTATGGAAAAGGAGGAAAAGGGTATTTTAAAGAAGACTTGATCCCTTCATGGTCCTTGAAATGTAGTAGCAAATGAGTTATTTTGAAATTGCAGTTTGATAGCCCTGACACTTCTCTTAAGACTGAGCCCCAGGGGGCCACTGCCTTACACAGATGGATTTGCAGCTGTCAATCACAAAGAGCATGGAACCGGGGTTACCCACTTCCCTCGGAAGATATCTGCAGTTTAAAGATACAGAACTTGAATTGTTAGCCAGCGGAGCTAGACCTATGAGTCCTGTAGAATTTTCAGAGTTTTTCTCTCACAGCTAGATTTGCTATCCAGGCTCCTAAAGGAGACAGGAAGAAAAAGAGAACATTTTTCTGGAGTTTGATAGGTTCCTTAGGAAGTCTAATTTATGTACTGGTGCCCCTATAAAAGACTAGGTCAAAGAAAAAATGCCACCTCAGATGAAAGAGTTCACCCATTCTCAGAAATATAACAGCTACCTTTTATAGTTATGAAATTTTTCAATTTATGGTTCTTTTCTAAAGAGCTGTTGATTTGTTTCTGGACTTGCTACTTCAAGCAAGTCTAATTTTAAGTCTGGAGTAGTGGTTCTCAAGCAGCATTGATGTCTGTACTCCACCCTTAAGGCACATCTGTTTGGAATTGTCTGAAGAGCATTTCAGTTGTTATGACTTGGGGCTAGGTAGTGCCTCATCATGTGGTGGGTAAGAACCAAGGATGAAGCAGGGAACAGCTTCCTACAAGAATGAGCCAAGCCTGTGGTGGTCTGGGGCTTCCCCCTCTGTGATCTCCATACTGATCCCTAATCACAGCTTTGTCATGGTCAGTGCTTTGCTTTTATTGTAACGAATCTCCCAGATTATGCTATCTTTCAGAGAGCAAAGGAAATGTCTATTAGCATCTTCATGAATCAACATGCATTCCTTGACAAAGTCCAGCTTGGAGAAAAAAAAAAGGTGGATAAAAATGGTACCATATGCCAGGCACCAGTGGCTTATGCCTATTATCCTAGCTACTCAGGAGGCTAAGATCTGAGGATTGTTGTTTAATTCCAGCCTGGGCAGGAAAGTCTGTGAGACTGTTATCTCTAATTAAGCATCAAAAAGCTGGAAAGAGAGCTGTGGCTCAAGTGGTAGAGTGCTAGCCTTGAGTATGAAAGCTCAGGGACAGTGCTGAGGACCTGCGGCACAAATAAAATGGTATCCCAAGTTGGATGTTGGTAGTTCATGGCAATAATCCTAGCTACTTAGGAGACAGATCTGAAAATCATGGTTCAAATCCCAGCCTTGGCAGCAAATCCAAAAGATTCATATCTATAAATAAACAGCAAAAGGCCAGAAATTGAGATGTGGTTCAAGTGATAGAGTACTAGCCTAAAGCAAGAAAGCTGTGTAAGAGCTCAAAGCCCTGAGTTCAAGCCACAGTCTAACAACACGCGTGCGCATGTGCACATGCGTACACACACACACACACACACACACACACACACACAATGACCTATTTTACATAATCCTTAGGCCAACTAATGAGTTAAGATTTACAAAGGATTAGGGATACGACGACACCTACTTGCTTAATAAATGTTAGTTCTCATCGTTCATCCTTTTTTCAATAGCCTGCTAAGATTATTTTGAAATTGATTTTCTCTCTCTGGCAGCACATATATTTTGGTCATTATTTATTTTCTTAAATGTTTGCCCAAGCTATCACAGTTTTAATTTTTTTATTTTTCTAATGTCTGGTTTTCAGTATCTGCATCTTCTCCTTGAAGCTAAAAGCACTCATCAGATTAGAAGAGGAAAAGAGATAGAGGATAAATATTTGAAGACATGGTACCAGGCAAAATCTAGCTTTCAGTCTGTGGATGAGAGGGGATGTATCATGGCAGTAACTATGATTTTGGCACAAGTGACCATGCAGTTTGTGATGTCTTTTCCTGTGATGTGATTTAAAGAAATGTGACAAAATTTGGAAGCAAGCTATGGAGTTCATCCCTATCCATGAACTTGCAGTGCATGTAGGAAAAGGAGAAAGAGATGCCCAGGAGAAAGGGAGACTTACAACTTTGACTTCAGAAGAGAGATTAGTATTTAGGACATGAAGTTTGACATCCAGGACTTCTAGTTTGGGGAAAGTATAGAAGCCAAAATTATTATACAGAAAATAAAAGTGACATGTATAGGGTTATTTGTTTTTTTTTTTAATTTGATGCCTTAAAATTAATGTGTAAAATTATGTGAGATTATAATCAAATGTATACCAATTTTTTTAGCTATTGCATTCTATTCAAGCATTTGAAAATGTACCATTTGAATTATCTGTCTCTTTTAATGTTTCAGATCATAAGGCATATGGATTATCTGCCCCCAAAGACAATCAAGTAGTCACAGCAATAGAGTACCAAGGTATAGTATCTTTCAGATTTTTATGAGCTGTGTTGTTTACATACCTCACAAGGATAATGCATCTCATATTGTTTTTCTATTGGTTAGGACCTCTGCCCTACCCCACATGAATTCTCTTGCCAGAAATGCTTCATAGTGTTCTTACCTTCAAAGGGAAACCTCCTCAGTGGAGATTTTGGACAATTAATGAAAAAAGAATGGACATAGATTTCCTATTACATAAATTACCAGCAAGAAGGACAATCAAATTTTTGAAAAAGAATCATAAATCTTTTAGAGTTTCTACCCAGTTAGAGGTAGCCAGTGGAAATCAATACCTTAAAACCTACCCTATACATTTTAAGATAGTATTGATATAGACTCTTTTAAGTTAGCTTATTCTTAATTATTGCAACATTTTTTTTTTTGCGATACTGAGATTTGAACTCAGGGCCTCTCCCTTGCTAAACAGGTACTCTGCCGCTCAGACACACGTCAGCTTCTTTCTTACTTTTTTTCTTTTTCTTTCTTGGTTTGGGGATTTTGGAATATTGTTTTTATAAAGGTAATGTACAGGGGGGTTACTGTTACATACATCAGGTAAAGAGTAAATTTCATTTTGTACAGTGTCATCCCTTCCCTCACTGTCTCCCAGGTTTTTTCCTCCTGCAGTGATTTTTTTTTTTTTTTTGGTCATGAGTCTTGAACTCTGGGCCTGACCACTGTCCCTCAGCTCTTCTGGTTTTCTGAGTGGTTTATTGGAGATAAGAGTCTTATAGACTTTCCTGCCCAGACTAGCTTTGATCCTTGATCCTCGGATCTCAGCCTCCTGAGTAGCTAGCATTACAGGCATGAGCAACCAGCGCCCAGCTATAGCATTGACGAGTTGTAAAAGTGGGGATTCATTTTTGACATGTCTATTTATGGATAAAATGCATCTTGGTTTGTTACCCCTTCAAATCTCTTTTTGGCCCTCTGCATTTACCCACTCCCTCCCACTACTACCCACATCCCAGTCTAGAACTGGCTCAACTTCCTGATTGCCTTTTGTTACACTACCTGTTAATTGTTCAAAGTGATTTTACTATGCTACCTCATACCTGCAAATACCATGTTTTAGATAGATTGATCATACATGGATATGATGACACATATATTTGCAGCTCCCACATACAAGAGAGAAGGTGTGACCTAAACCTAATTTATATTGCTTGATATGGTTTAATTTTTTTAGGTTCATACATTTCCCTGAAATGTACTCTACCACTGGAGCCACAGCTCCACTTTCATGTTTTTGTTTTTATTTGGTATAGTAGTTTAGTGGAGACGAGAGTCTCACAGATTTTCCTGCCTGGCCTGGCTTGGAATGGTGACTCTCAGATCTCAGCCTCCTAAATAAGCTAGAATTACAGGTGTGCGCCACCAGCTCCCCATGTTGTTTTAATTTGCATTTCTTTATTTAGAGATGCAATTCATTTCTTATTACTTATAGGTCCATTTTTACTTTCTTGGTCAAAACTACATAACAAATCCAGGTGTAGGGCAGACTTTCTGCATAAGGATTTATGGGTTGTATGGTGATCATTCTGGCAGCCATCTTAGATCCAACTAGCTTTTCCACAACCCCGCATGGAGAGGAACTACACCTATCTGACTTTTAAAGATAACCAAGATTAAAGTGGGGCAGAAATTCAGGTAGGACACCCAGATTATGACAAGATTAGGGAAAGGTAAGAATGTCACAGACAATTTCTTAGGTTAATTAGATCTTTTTAAGGGCTAATACATTACACAAACTAATAAGACACCTTTTCTTGTGGGCTAGTTTCAAATGAGGGGAAGAGGAAATGAATGATTGGGAATAATTTGGACCATGGAGAACCTATAAATGAGATAAGAAACTAAGAGGGTGAACTGAAGAGCCCAAAGAATAATCACAGGGGAAAGAAAACGTGGTGTAAGATTTCCCTCAGGGACACAGGAACTGAAGTTCACTCTTCCTCACCATCCTCTCCCTGCCCCTTCCTCCTCCGCTGCCTAATCACTTACTTTCCTCCAGGTTCCTGTGTCTGGGTTCACCTGACTGTGGTAAACATACATCTCTACCCTAATTGCCATGATATCTGAATTAGTATATAACAATTATATTCTCTAATCATTTACTGTTTTAAGAAAATTACTGAAGCAAAATTTATATAACTGTAAAATCCATCCTTTAAAAATAATAAATCTATCTACAGGTGTGGCTCAAGTGATAGGGTAGCAGCCTGACAAGCATGAGACTCTGAGCTCAAACCCCAGTAGTGACAATAAATACATAAAGTTATTCTAAAGATTAATTAATAATAAAATAAACAGTCAACTCAACAACTTTTGGTGCATGTGCCACCTCTGGTTCCAGAATATTCCATCACTCCAAAATGAAACCCAGTGCCCATTTATGTTACTTTTTAATGCATGTTTTATTTTTAACATAGAAAATCCTTCCATGATTTATTAAATGTTAGTCTCAGGAATGGCTGTGCAGGTCACTGTAGTTCAGTAGTAGAGACCATGCTAAGCATGTCTGACATTCTTGGTTTAATCCCCATTACTCCCCTCCCCCCCAAAACCCACTCTTACTCCAGAATAATTACTTTTAAATTTTTTTCTTACTTTACCTCTGCTCTATTAAATTAATAATGATATCATAATTCTATTTTATATGCACTCAGTTATGCCAATGCGACTCTCCATGAAACTAGATTTCTATCTTCAGACTCCTATATTTAGTTTTGGTCTATTTTATGCAGCAACTTAAGTCTATAATAATTTGTGATTTACTTATACCTGTGTGTGCATTCCAGCTCATTATTTTTTTCTCTTCTTTCTCTGATGTAATTGAATTCCTGCTTTGCAGGGATTCTGTTCTGTATCATTTCCCATGGAGGTGCCAGAAGCTGAATGAGACAGAAATCAGGGCAGCTTTCCCAGGAACATAAATTATAGGAACAGCCTCTTGCAGTGTCCAGCTCTGAAAGCTGTTAATCAGTTTAGTAGCAAGCATTTTCTTAAATGATTATCTTCTCTTGATCTAAATGAAACAGATGTTTTAGCAATAAAATGATCACTTTAATAGAAAACCTTGTCACATATTTCTTTTTTCATATCTTTGTGTTAAGCAAAATAAGATTTATGTTGATGCTGTTTTTTTGCTGTCTGAAACAGAGGTAACATTTTAGTTCTGGTTTGAGTAATTTAAAGGGAAATTTGTAGGCCAAATATGGTGGTTTATGCTTGTAATCCTAGCTCCTTGTAAGGTACTGACTAGAGGTTTGTAATTCCAGAAGGGACTAAGCAAAAATATAGCAAGATTCTGTTTCAATTAGTAGCCGTGCATGCCTGTGATCCCACCCACAGAAGAAGCAAATATAGGAGGATCACTGTTCAGGTCATCCTAGGCAGAAACACAAGTAGTTTTCTAAAAAAATAACTAAAGCAAACTGGTGGCTCATACCTGCAATCCTAGCTACTTGAGAGGCTGAGATTTGATGATGGAGGTTTAAAGCCAGCCCCAAGCAGGAAAGGCCGTGAGTCTCTTATCTCCCAATTAACTACCAAAAAAACTAGAAGTGAAGCTGTGGCTCAAGTGGTAAAGCACTAGACTTAAGCAAAAGGAGCCAAGGGACAGTGCCCAGGATTTGAGTTTATGCAAGAAAATAATAATAACTGAAGTGAAAAGGAATGAGGGTGTGACTCAAGTAGCAGTTTCTGCTAATTCAAACCTCAAAACCTGAATTCAATGTTGTCCCTTGACCCCATCACCAAAAAAAGTGAATTTGTCATTGGATAAAGTATGGGCTTAAAACATATAGATGCAAAGAAGGTTGAGACTACAACTAAAGGGAAGTTAGTTCTCATGGATTCAAATAATAATTACCAATCTGGAGCACATACTATGTGCAAGGTACAACATCCACCAGTTACATAAACCATTATCTCATCTTTTATCATTTTATTGATATAGATATAACGTTCTGAAAAAAACTTAAGCAATTTTCTCATATCACATACCTTGTCTGTGGTAGAGCTATAACTCAAAAGTCTATGAATTACTATATTATATTTCAGTAGCCCTGAAGCTAGATACAAAAAATTATGCTGGCCATGTTTTGATTTTTACTATAGAGAGAGAGTTTCCCTCAGATGTTGACCCCATGATTCTATTTTTACTGTCTACTTGTTTCCTAGGATTGCCACAATATCCCGTGAAACATGTGGCTTAAAATAGCAGTTTTTCAGAGTCTTTCACAGTTGTGTAGTCTGGTCAGTCAAGATCAAACTGTTGGCACCCTAGCATCTAGACAGTGACTGTCTCTTGCTCAATATACTTCTTCAAAGAACCATATGACAAAGCCTATCTGTCTTCTAAATCTGTGATCAAATGCCACCTTCTAAAGTGAACTTGGACCACCTTGCTTATAAAAATGACATCTAATGATATCGACATATCCAGTACTATCAAACCTCCCAAACCTCCTGCACTGTCCTCTCCTAGATCTCCATAGCATTCATCACCTTCTAATGTATCACAGAATTCACATTATACATTGGACTTTGATGTTGCTTGTTTGCCTACTTCCTGTAGAGCAGGGGGTCTGACCTTGTTCTGTTCACTGATGCAGCTTAGGAACAATGCTGGACACACACGGTATGCTCACTAGACTTTGGACGAACTGGATAAACTACTTCTCTCCATATTGCACAGTCAGTGAGAGAGGCTGGAGTGAATTAAGAAAACCACTGGTCACATTTTAAAACTATAATTTCTTTCTTTTATTGTTATTAAATATTGGTACAAAGGGGATACAATTCCATAAATCAGGTTAGGAGTACAATGCTTCTTGGTTAATGTCACCCCTTCCTTCATTCTAGTCTATTCCCCTCTTTTCCTCCCTACCATCCCTTCCTTCAAGTTAGGTAGATCATTTTTTTACATAATGTACATTGACTATAATGATTACATTTGCTCACCCTTCCTCCCTCCATTCCTGCGCCACCCTCTAAGCTATAATTTCCATACAGATTTATCCACAGAGCAGTGAAGACAGAAATCAGGAAGAATTCACTAACACGTGTGTGTGTGTGTGTGTGTGTGTGTGTGTGTGTGTGTGTGTGTTTGTGTGTAGTTAAATATACAAAACAATGTGATGGAATGTAAAATAGTTTCTAAGATGTGGGAGTAAGACATGGAAAGTAGATGAGTAATGAGTGTGGGTGTGTACTTAATTGTTGGAAAACTCAACAAAATACGGGAAGGAAACCTATCTAAAACTCAAGACTCCGGAAGATCACCACCCATTCTCCTTAATCAACAGAACAGTGCTGTTTCCTCAGACAGGTCCCTTAGCACACATTTGTCCTTGTATTTTGTTTTAAACATCTCTGTGAAACACTATCTCTCTGGGGTGTAAAACTTGCTTGAAAATCTTTAAGCCTCTTGAAAGCAATTTTTTCCCTAACTTCTGTTTGCTCTGCTATGTTTTCCTTTACCTTTTATTCTATTTCTCTATTTCTAGTAACAGGACTGTAACACAAGGATCACACACAGAAATCAGCACTAGATTATAATATTTACACATTGGTTATAGACTTTCTGCTTGCATCCATGTGTGTATTTTTTCAATAAAATGGGAAATATTTTTAAATGTAGTGAATTTGCTTAGCCTCAAAATCTTAGGTATGGAAAGAACTTTAATTTGTGTTCTGATTAGGGATACTGTGCTTTTGTAGGTCAAATCACTATCCTTTTGGGAAATCACATCTTAGAAAAATGAAATTGACATTCTAGATGCCTATTTGAAACATACTTTAAATCTGTTTATAATTGGAGGGCTCTATTTGGTAAAATAAAACAGTGTGCAAACTACAACTGGTTTCCCTCTCTTCAATCATCTTGCTTGGACAGCCAAAAGAAGTGGCTACTTGGAGGTTCCTGGAATTCTTTAATGTTGCAGCTGCAATAAGTTGGCTGCCTTAAAGTGAACAACACTGTGATAAAGTTCACGCCAAGATAAATCTTCTCATAGTTGATCCTTTTGTTGTTGGTGGTGGTGGTTGTGGGGCTTGAACTCTGGGCCTGGGCGGTGTCCCTCAGTTCTTCAGCTGAAGGCTAGAGCTCTACCACTTGAGCCACAGTGGTACTTCCCGTCCTCTGGTGGTTTATTGTAGCTAGCCTCACTGACCTTCCTGCCTGGGCTGGCTTTGAACCGTGATCTCAGCAGGTGCCCGGCTCATAGTTGATCTTGATTGAGGCATTTTGCAGTAAAGAATCAACTCATTAAAGGACAACTTGAGTCTTATATTAAAGTATTTGTAGAGTCCATTAATAAAGGATCTCAATGAGAATGTAGCCAGTTGGAGGAGGGTTGGGGTTCCCCAGCATTTCCAGGACTGAACTAAATGCCTTTCCAAGGTAGAAGGTCTGAAGCATCCTCTCCATACCTCCATCCTGACACTCATCAATGTTGGACTCAAATGACATTATCTTACTTGCCTCTTCTACTAAGCTGTAGACTCCGTGAACACAGAAATAGGGAATAATAAGATAACTAATCATAGATGCTGTTGGTAGGGATTTAACTGTATGTAAGCTTGTGTGCTTGCATATATTATTGCATTTGAAAACTTACAACAACTCCGTAAGTCATGATCCCATTTTACTGCAGAGAGGGGAACTCAGGCTCAATAGCTATACTCTAACCTCAAGCCTCTTCCTCTTAGCTTCCTAAGTAGCTAGGACTACATGTGTGACCCACCATGGCTTACCTACATAATTATTATATGAATGAGATATAATGCTTCTAATTTTACTTTTGGGCTAAGATAGCATGATACTTGATTATGTACTTTATGAATGGATGGATGGATGGATGGATGGATGGATGGATGGATGGATGGGTGGATGGATGGAAATGTAAAAGAGTAAGAAAGTATACAAACAACTCAGTAAAATATAAATTCACAGTGACAACCAGAAGTTAGTTTTTTTTTTTTTATTCCTAGAGGTTATTTTAGCCTGTAAAAGCCCAAAGAAGACCATGTCATCGAGATTAGAGTGGAAGAAACTGGGGCGGAGTGTCTCCTTTGTCTACTACCAGCAGACTTTCCAAGGTAAGAAAAAGCTGTAGGCTTGATGAGCCCAGAGCAAGAGAAAACAAAGTACAACCAGATTCCTTTGATTTACAAATGAAAACAGGACATGCCTGATTACTGAAAATGTGTTTTTCTAAGTGTGAGATGAAGCCTACAGTGCTAGACCTAAAACACAATAGTCACAGAAGCTATAGGAAAATTCTTTTCAATCCCTGGACCTTGATTTCTAAGCTTAGTTTCAGAGGATACAAAATTTGGTCTTTCTGGCTCAGCAGATTAAACTTTTGTGAGAAGGTAAACATGTAATGATGTGGGTTTGGTGTGCAGGGTCATTGCTCAGTACTAAATGCCTTCACCTCTTTCTTCATCTCCCTTCAGGGAGTTAGGATTTACAGTCAATTACAATGGCCGTACTTTTTATTTCTTATACATTTCTTTCTGGGCTATCCTTTAAGGTTATGGATTCAAATAGGAAAATGCTTGGAATTCATAGAACACAAAGTATTCCCTCTGATTCTTATCTGTCAAGACTGTTGGCTACAAAGTACTGACTTCATTTGAATTTTCTGTAGTTGCCAGGTTTGACACCTACATATTACATAAAACCATGTTTTAATTTCATACATATTTCTGTGAAAAACTAACCTACAAAATGACTTCAGACATGTCTCTGGCTTACCACCTTTTCTTCTGTGGTATAATTATTTGGGCCACCACACATAAAGTTAATGTTCTGACCAATTAAACTAGCATCTCCAGTGGTGTAGTTTCTTTAAAGGGGGATATTTTTATAAGGGTACTATAATAGGAATAAGGCAGGCATTTGGGTTGAGTTCTCTGAAATAAATTATAGGAATGTGAAACTATTCTTTTTTGGAGTCTAAAATACATCTGTCTTAAAAAAACATTTTATACAATCATATGGACATACTATTTTTAAGTTTAAAATTGAGTGATGGAAAATGAATGCTTTGGTTATTGAATGAAGTGATTTGAGAAAGATACTCTATAGAATAGTGCTGGCATAGAGCATTATTCCTAGCATTATTGTCTTCTTTTTTTCTGAAGGTGATTTTAAAGATCGAGCTGAAATGATAGATTTCAGTATACGGATCAAAAATGTTACAAGAAAGGATGCTGGGAAATACCGTTGTGAAGTTAGTGCCCCATCAGAGCAAGGCCAAAACCTGGAAGAGGATACGGTCACTCTAGAAGTATTAGGTATGTGTATGTATAACTAGTGTCACTCATCGCTTTTCTCCTCCTCACAGGCCTAGTGCAAAGAGGCACCGGACAGAACACTAATATTGGGCCACAACCACTAATATTGCAGAAACCACAAGTACAGCTTTCCCAGCAGGATCTTATTTCTTGCCATCATCTCATTGGCTGCTGAAATTTCACTATTACAAACTCATTATCCCCAAACTCTCTTATTTAAGATTGAAGTAGTCTTTACTCTCTACATGAGTAAATTTCTCAAGATTTTATTTATCAATAACTTTCAGCATAGCCTCTATTTTTTCTTCCTCTCATCTAGAATGGTATCACATGAATTGATAGAAAAGCAAAAAATAAATATACCTCCCCACCCCCAAAAAACATATATAGGCTAATGGAAGGATTAGAAATTGTTTAGTGTAGAAAAATTAGCATCTATTTTGCAGCAAATATGTCCAGGGCCCTTTCAGATATGTGATTTTATCTTTACTGATAATCTGAGTCTTACAGGTGAAGAAGTTGAAGTTCAATTATTTCCTCTTTACTGATATCTTTACTGATAATCTGAGTCTTACAGGTGAAGAAGTTGAAGTTCAATTATTTCCTCAGGACCACACAATTAAAAAATGTCTGCATGAGTATTTGAATCTAGATAGGGTTAAACGCAAAGTTTATATACTAAGTTAGTATAAGAACCACAGTTGGGCATGTTGAAATGCTTTTGTAATGTCAGTTGAGGCAGTAGGATGTTGAGTTTGAGGCTACATATATCCTGACATATCAAAGCATACCCTGACTTGAAAAAAACAACAACTCATAATGGCAGGTGGCAGCTTCTCCTTATTGGTGTAAGTATAAGGTATCAATATGAACATGATGGCAACTTTTTCTTTTTAGTATATCATCCGGGATGTGATAGCACTTAAATCAGGAAACTCTTCACCAACTCAGCAGTTTTAAAGGACACCATTTATCAGCTCATCATTCTATAGATCATAAGTCCAACAACAAAATTTGGTCCTGTTTGATCCTATCAATAACAAAACTAAAATCAAGATGTTGGATGGACTGAATTCTTTTCTTTTTTTGTTTGTTTGTTTGTCATGGGACTTCAACTATAGGCCCGGGTGCTGTCCCTCAGCAATTCAGCTTAAGGCTAGTACTCTACCACTTGAGCCACAGTGCCACTTTTGGTCCTCTGGTGGTTTATTGGAGATAAGAGTCTCATGGACTTTCCTGTCTGAGCTGGCTTTGAACCATGATTCTCAGATCTCAGCCTCCTGAGTAGCTAGGATTACAGGCATGAGCCACTGGCATTACAGGTGTGAGCCACTGGGGTCTGCCTTGATTTGAAGTCTTGTCTCAAGATTCTGGGGAAAAAATCCATTTCCAAGTTCATTCTTGGTGTTGTTAGATTTTCTTTGTGATTGGCAGGACTGAAAGATCTCATTTTCTACTTGCTGCTAGCTGGGATCACACTGAATTCTTAAAAGATCACCCACAATTATCATTTGGCCCTTTTCATCTTCAGTACAACTACAGGCTCTTCATTGTATCTTCAAAATTCTTTGATGGTAATATATAGATTAGAGTCTAAGTAACTGAGAGAATGTGTATCAATACAAAAATGGAGGTTTTTAGAGAGACACCTTAAAATTCTGCTAACAATAGGTACTTCTGTCTTCTGTATATTCAATCACCTATTACAATCTGCTTTATATTCTGAATCTCTGAGACCAGATAGTCCTGTTTCTTAAAGGTTATTCTTAGTTGCTAACTTGCCCAGTTATAACTATATAAGATTTTTTTAAATTAAGTACCAGGCCTGAAAAGTATCCTCAGATTTATTTTCTTTTAATAGTGTTGTAAATAAACATTAGAACCACTGGAAAAGAAAACAGTAGACAGTATCTAAAAAAATAATGGGTGTTTTATTAGCTAAGGAAATGCTGGCTACTATGAGTAAACCTTGAACCATCAGTAGTTTCTTTCTCACGTAAGTAAAGCATAGACAGTTAGGTACCATATGTGTGTGTAGGGGTGCTGAAGATATCATTCTACATCATGAAATAGAGGCACAGCCTAAAACAGGTCTGATATATGCTCTATAAGGTCCTCATGAGTGGGAGAAGACAAGGGGAGTGAATGCTTGAAAATCATGCAGGAAACTATTATAGGTCAGGCCTAGAAATGGCTATACCACTCTATCTCACATTCCATGCATCTGACCTCTTAGCAGAAAGCACTGGCAAATGCAGACTCCTGTGTTCCCAAGAAGAAAGGAAATGGGCCCATTGAAGAAGTAGCCAGTCTCAGCAGCAGTCACCCATCTTTATTGCCTATTACTTTTATTTACCCGTGTTTAGCTTGTGAGTAACCAGAGACATTTGTCTTCTGTTGTTCAGTGGCTCCAGCAGTGCCATCATGTGAAGTGCCCACTTCTGCTTTGAGTGGGACTGTGGTAGAGCTACGATGTCAAGACAAAGAAGGGAATCCAGCTCCTGAATATACATGGTTTAAGGATGGCATCCGTTTGCTGGGGAATCCAAAACTTGGCTCCCAAAGATCCAACAGCTCATACACAATGAATACAAAATCTGGAACTCTGGTGAGATCATTTCAAGTATTGGCCTAATAACTATGGCATGTGGATAATTTGAGCTGGGTGCCCGTGGTGGCTCATGCCTATAATCCTAGCTATTCAGGAGTCTGAGATCTGAAGATTGTGGTTCAAAGCCAGCCAAGGCAGGAAAGTCTTTGAGACTCTGTTTTCCAATAAGCTACCAAAAGATTAAAAAAATATATAGTGGAGCTATGGCTCAAATGGTAGAGCACTAGCCTTGTGCAAAAATAAATAAATAAATAAATAGATGGATGTTCAGGGAAAGTCCCCAGGTCTTGAGTTCATCCCCAGAATTAGTAAAACAATAGTAATAATAATAATAATAGTGGAGAGGAAAAGACATACTGTCTGTCATTGCTTGTTAAGTGAAGAGAGGGGAGCAGGAAGATGATGGTACCTGCATTGAGAAGACATGGGAAGGATCAAGACAGCACAGAGCACACGGGTCTGCGTGCTGCTGACTGCTCACCGTCCAGAGTAATGGCAGTTCTCTACAGCTACCTTACTGATCTAGAAAACTACTAAGTACTATCTCAGTTTCTAACATTACGTAAATGCATAACAGCTCACTTGGAGATTCCCTGATTCCAGTGTTTTACCACAAGAAAATAGTGACCATAGTAAAGGCATGGCAGGGTACCTGTGTCATTGTTTCCATGACTCTAGATCATCAATTGTCTCTGTGACGTAAGTTTAAACTCAGTCTTTGTCTCTCTGACTGTTTCCTCCACAAACCAATAAACAATCTCTTTACAGTTAATGACATTTGAAAGAAAAAGGTATTTATTTTTTAAGTTTTCATCTGGGACTTTTTAAGTTAGAAGGACTAATTTTTAAAAGGTTACTTGACATGAGAATATTTTCCAATGAAAATAATATTACAGGTCAGTTTTTAAATGTCTAATTTCTAGCAATACAGATCACTATCATAATCATTAACTAAAAAACATCTTAAAAGAGAGGTAATGATAATAACAGTTTTTATGAATGTTGAGAGTAATCTTGTGTCTTTTAATTTCTTCTATCATTAACATTTAAAAACTAGATTTTTGAGGGGGCCAGCACTGACAATAGAACTTAAGGCACTGATGCTTGCTAGGTAAGCACTTGAGCCATACCCATGGTCCTTTTTTGCTTTAGTTATTTTTTTTATTTTAGAGAAACTCTTACTTTTGCCCATGCCTCAGAAGGTGATCCTCTTCTTATCCATGACTCCTGATATAGGAGGGACTAGAGGTACGACCACCATGCCTGGCCTCCAAACTAGGTCTGACATACAGCAAAGCACATTGCTTCCTTCAGTGAGTAATACAGAAGAGCAGCGGAGGAGAATGTCCTTTGAATAAGGCATGCTCTGGCTTTTTGGCTGTCAGAGGAGAAGTCAGCAGGTCCTAGTGATTTTACACTGAGAAATTGGGCAGAAAACCTGCCATCACCCTCTGCTATGTTTGTTTGTCGAATTTATTTTTTCTCCAAGTGGTGATAAAAAGCCCCAAGGCAAGTCTGAAAAAAAAAATCGAGATCTACTTTCCTCAGGGAACCTCGGCCCTTGAAGTTTCTGGTGAGGCCATATGAGTGCATCACGCTAGGTTGAACTAGGGTGGGTTCTAGGATGTGAACAAAGACTCCAGTGTATGGATGCCAGGGACATTCTTTTAATTACCAGTCATAATGCACTTGGAAGATCATTTGGGGTTTTACTCTACCTTATTATTTATATATAACCTTGGCCTGGAGTTTATGGTGAGTAATCTGAAAGTATTCTGGCTTTCAGGGTAGGTGAAAATGATTCCCTAGAGTCAAAACAAGCCAGGGAAAGCATGTAGCTAGTGAAGTCTATAGAAAGAGGGGGCTGTGGGAAATTAGAGGAAGAAAAGTGAAAGATAGAAAGGAGCAAAGTTCTAAGTCCTGGCCACTGGGGGAACAACATATAGTGCAAGAGAAGTGTCTAGTCACACCAAAGCTGACTCCTCACCCAAGTACTGGAGACTGAATGGAGAGTAGTGGGGGCGTGGTTCGCAGCAACCCTCTCCCAACCTCTGCTGGCCCTGCAGGATCCTTCAGGTGCCAGAGATTGCATCTGCCTCCTTCCCTTTCTCTAGAACCCCTTATCCCTCCTCTTCCTCATCTCCCTCCCTCCGTCTCCCCCTTTCTTTCTCTCTCTCTTTTTCTTGTTTCCTTACCTTCGGTCTTCATTCTTTACAGAAATTCTCCAAGGGTCTAAAACCACTGATGTAAATTAGTTCTTTTAATAACAATATCTCTTTTCGATTGCTTGTCAGGGAGTAGAATGAGCAAGGGCTCAACCTTTCATTAACATTCTGGAAGTGATAGAGGTTGCAATCCTATAAACACCACCAATTAAGGCCCTAGCCTCCTTCTTCGTGGTTAACTCTCGCTCTGTAGAAAAGGTATTCATTAGTCACTGCTACAGTGAACTTGCTGTGGCTTAGAGAGTGCATTAACCATTTCTAGGAAAATGGATGGAACTGGGAATCATCATGTAAAGTGAGATGAGCCAAGCAGAGAAGCACAAATGTTGCAATGATATTGCTCATATGCAGACCCTAGAAGTAAGGGGAAACAATGACATGTTTATGAAAGGCAGACTCAGGGGAATAGAACTAGTGGGTGGAGGAGGGGACAGGAGAGTATGATGGGGATAAATATGAAGGAAGTACATTACCCATATACATGAAAACAACATGATGAAACCCACTAAAAATTCTTTAAAAAGAAGGGGGAGGAGAGAAAAGGGTTACAGAAGAGTTTTATAGAGGGGTGAATGATCAAAGTATATAATATGCATGTATATAAGTGTCACAACAAAACTTCTTAGTGTGACTAATTTATGCTAGTATTTTTTTTTAAAACCTAAAAGCACGTTAACCCTTTTGCAAAGGTATATGTGTTTGTCCTAGGAATTAAAAGTATCTATGGTATTTTAATACTGTCAGGTGCTAAACATTTTTAATGCCTAATGTCTTCCTACTATACTAGTTTTCTTGAAGAGAGAGACACACACACAGAGAGAGAGAGAGAGAGAGAGAGAGAGAGAGAGAGAGAGAGAGAGAGAGAGAGAGAGGAGAACAATCAGAAGGAAATAAAGGTAGAAAGAAATAAAAAGGTGCTGTGGCGGCAGTATAGGCTTCAGTACTCAAGAGACTGCGGAAGTAAGATTGCAAGCTTGAAACCAGCCTAGTCTACATAATAAGACCTTGTCTCAAAATGCCACCCAAACAAACAAACAAGAAACAGAAAAGACAGAAAAGAAGTCTCTCTGGCCAGCCATGGTCAGTCATGACTATCACCCCCAGCTATATGGGAGGTGTGGAGTAGGAGGATGGAATTCCTAGTGCAAACTCCAATATAAACAAAAATAAAAATAAAAAACCAAATTAAAACAGAACAAAACATGGAAATCTTTGCTGCCGAATAAAAACAAGAGGCCTTGCTATTACTCCTTGAATTCCAAGTATATATTTTTTTGTTTTGTTTTTGTTTTGTTTTTTGTTGGTTGTGAGGCTTGAATTCTTGATCCTGGATGCTGTCCCACAGCTCTTCAGCTCAAGGCTAGTGCTACCACTTGAGCCACAGCACCACTTCCGTCTTTTTCTGCTTATGTGGTGCTGAGGAATCAAACCCAGGGCCTCTGCATGGAAGGCAAGTACTCTACCACTGAGCCACCTTCCCAGCACCTATCTTTTGAATTTATAATAAAGATGTAACATCCTGAGTCATTAAGAAGAATTGAATAGTAAAATTCAAGGGTTGTTTGAAGAGGCTACTTATGGTTTTGTGGTTTATTTTTCTTTCCCCCAATAGCAATTTAATACTGTTTCTAAACTGGATAGTGGAGAATATTCCTGTGAAGCCCGTAATTCTGTTGGATATCGCCGGTGTCTGGGAAAGCGAATGCAAGTAGGTAAGCATGAAAGATTGGGAGGAATGAATGATGTGCCAATACTTGGGGGTGCAAAGGGCAAGGGGGTAGGAGAGAGTTGAATAAGTTGAAGGATAAATATGAGGTATTTAGTAAGGGATGTTAGGAAGAAGCCACCATGCTGTTTTTAACCCATCTTCCAAGGAAGCCAAAAATATTTAGCTAATTACTATTTTCTGAGTAATCTTTCAAACAAAAGCTAATCATCTCATGGTTTGTAAACTGCTTAGAGTCCAGAGTCTGTATTGGGAGTTTCATTTATGCCCTGCTATTTTACTAGCTACAGCCCCTTAAGCCAGTTATTCTACCTCCATGCCTCAGTTCTCCCCCCCCCCCCCCCCGGAAAATAGCAATATACTCTCCTCACAGAGTGGCTATGAAGAATAGAATAAGCAATATTTGAAAGGGTCAGAACAGACAGCATTGGTTGGCATACTGTGAACATTATATGAACCAAGTTGTTGGCGATTTTTCGACATCCTAAAATGCTGAGCTCATACTACTTGCAGAGTGCCTTCTAAGAAGTGGCATAGGTTAGTAATGGGTCTAAGTTACTACAAAACATAGCTGTCATAGAGTATAGTGTATAAAATAAGCTTTTCAGAGTCAATAAAATTATGACAAGTATCTTAGTAATTAGATTTGTTTCTTCTATGTAGTGAAATGTATAGGTTTTTCACTACACATTTCTTATTGCAATTAATTGTGCAATAGGAAGGAATATGCTGAAATCATACTGAGGATCATCTGTGGGTCATTATGGAAGACTGAGCCCTGAAACAGAATACTGAGGGGGTCCTGGTAACAGGAGCTTGTTCTAGCTTTGTGGGCTCCAAAACTTACTTCTCAGTGTGCAAAGTCAGCCTAGGCTGCAAAGTGAGTTTGAGAGACTGCTTCAAATAAACCAACAAACAAAAACCAGAAGACCAACAAAGAAAAAAATCAGAAAAATTAACTTGCTTAGTTAATAATAAAATTATTGGGATAAAGAATACATTTTTATGGGGCAAATTGTATTTATCATGGTTAATAAAGTTTATGAGTTCTATGAGCTTTGACAATACAGTTATTTCTTACACATTGGGTGATATGTACATTTCTTTCCTTTTGCTTAGTGCCAGCTTTTCCCGCTTATTCCTTCCCTCCCATCCTTGCCATTGAGGTGCTTAGTTCATTTTGATCAATGTCCAGTGCAGCTGATGGGTCCCGCTGTTGTATGGTTTTCCCCATTTCCTTCAGTTTCTGCCTCCTCCTCCTAGTTTTCTTCCAGTGTGCACATATATACCATATGTGTAGTCCACAGCATGGGGTCATTTAGGAATGATTCGACCAGATGAGGGGAGGTCCTTGAGTCTTGAGTCTTGTTTACTTTATGGTATCATCTTACATTTTGGATTTAACCCATTTATCAGAGAGACCATGTGCCGTTTGTCTCTTTGCTCTTGGCTTACCTCACTCAACATGATTTCTTCTAGTTCCATCTATTTCCCTGCAAATGCCATTATTTTGTCATTTCTAATGGCTGCATAATATTCCACTGTGTATAGATACCGCAATTTTTGGCTCCATTCATCTGTGGTGGGACATCTGGGTTGTTTCCATATCCTGGCTATTGTGAACAGTGCTGCAATAAACATGGAGGTGCATGTGTCCTAGTATCCTGGTTCCGGTTGTTCAGGATAGATGCCTACAAGTGGTATGGGTCATAGGGGAGGTCAATATTTAGCTTTCTGAGGACCCCCAGAACTGCTTTCCAAAGTGGTTGTATTAATGTACATTCCTACCAGCAGTGCAATAGAGATCCCCTTTCTCCGCATCCCTTCCAGCATTTGTCGTTGGCTGACTTTAGGATGTGGGACATTCTGACTGGGGTAAGGTATCTCAGGGTTGTCTTTATTTGCATTTCCTTTATCACCAGGGATGGTGAACATTTCCTCATGTGTTTCTTTGCGATTCTTATCTCTTCTTCTGAGAAGTCTCTCTTTAGTTCCCTTGCCCATTTAGTAATTGGTTTGTTAGGTTTGGGAGGGATTAGTTTTTTGAGTTCCCTGTATATACTGTATATTAGCCCCTTGTCTGATATATTGCTGGTAAATATTTTTCCAAGTTAGTTGGTTGTCTTTCTAGCTTGGTTGCTATGTCTTTAGCTATGTAGAAGCTTTGTATTTTAAGGTAGTCCCATTTGTTGAGTCTCTCTCCAAATTGTTGTGACCTTGGAACTCTGTTCAGGAAGTTCTTGCCTTGCCTATAAGGTCAAGTGTCTCTCCTACTCTGTCCTGCAATAGTTTCAGAGTTTCAGGTTTGATGTTAAGGTCTTTAATCCATTTTGAGTTGATGTTGGTGCATGGTGATAGGCTGGGGTCCACTTTTAGTTTTCTGCATATGACCGCCCAGTTTTCCCAGCACCAGTAGTTGAAGAGGCTGTGCTTCTTCCACTGTTTGTCTTTGGCTCCTTTGTCAAATATAGCTGACTGTAGGCATGTGGTTTTATTTCTGGATCTTCTATTCTATTCCATTGGTCTTCGGGTCTGTTTTTGTGCCAGTACCAAGCTGTCTTTGTTATTATGGCTCTGTAGTAGAGTTTGAAGTCCAGCATCAAGATCCCACCCATGTTGTCTTTTTTACCTAGAATTGTTTTGGCTATTGTAGGTCTTTTGTTGTTCCATATGAATTTTTGGACTGTTTCCTGTATTTCAGTAATGAAAATCATTGGGGTTTTAATAAGAATTGTGTTGAATTTGTGTATCAATTTTGGCAGAATGGCCATTTTCACTATATTGTCTGCCTATCCAAGAACATGGAAGGACTTTCTATTTCCTGGTGTTCTCTATAATTTCATTATATAGTTCTTTTACATCTTTGGTTAGGCTAATTCCTAAATATTTTTTTGGGGGGGGTTATTGTGAATGGGTTTGTTTCCTTGATTTCCCCTTCTGCTTGTACATTGTTGGTGTACAGAAAGGCAACTGATTTTTGTGGGTTACTTTTGTATCCTGCTACTTTGCCAAAGTGGTTTATAAGTTCTAAGAGTTTGGGGTGGAGTTTTTAAGATCATGGAGGTATAGTATCATGTCATCTGCAAAAAGGGATGGTTTAACTTCTTCCTTCCCTATATGGATCCCTTTAATGTCTTTTTCTTGCCTTATTGCTCTGGCTAAGGATTCCAGAACTATACTGAAGAGGAGTGTTAAGAGTGGGCATCCTTGCCTTGTTCCTGATTTTAGAACTAGTTGTAGTTTTTTCCCCATTAAGTATAATATTGGCTATTGGTCTGTCATATATGGCTTTTATCGTTTTAAGGAATGTTGCTTCTATTCCTATTTTCTCCAGAGCTTTTAACATGCATGAATGTTGTATTTTATAAAAAACCTTTTCTGCATCTGTGGAGATAATCATGTGATTCTTGACCTTGGCTCTGTTGATGTGTTAGATTACATTTATTGATTTATGTATGTTAAACCATCCCTGCATCTCTGGGATGAAGCCTACTTGGTCATAATGTATGATTTTTTTGATGTGTTTCTGGATTCTGTTGGCTAGAATTCTGTTAAGGATCTTTGCATCTTTGTTCATCAAGGAGATTGGTCTGTAGTTCTCTTTTTTTGGTGGGTCTTTGCCTGGTTTGGGGATGAGTGTGATTTTGGCATCAAGGATACAGAATAAATTTTTAAAAACTGTAAGTTGAGAACACAGTAGTCAATCCAAACTTGGGTCCAAAACACATATTATGTTATACTAGACAAGATATGACTTAATAGCAACAAGAAAAAGCTTGTTTAATTCATTTCACTTAATTTTTTTTTGTCAGTCATGGGGCCTGAACTTGGGTTTGGGTACTGTCCCTCAGCTCTTCAGCTCAAGGCTAGCACCACTTCTGGCTTTTTCTGCTTATGTGGTGCTGAGGAATCAAACCCAGGGCCTCATGCATGCAAGACAAGCACTCTCCTTGCCTTCCCAGCCACCTTCTCAGCCCCTCACTTAATTTTAAACTCAGTGTGGTAATGGCTTAGTGATCTGCATGTATGAGGATATATTTGTGCATACATATCCACACAGGAAACTCATAAATTCAAGAGGGGATTTCTCTAGGAGTATTACAGAATAACAATGGCATACGCTTTCTTTGAGGCTGTTCTTTGTGACACTGACCAAATAATGATGTAGAAAAACTTCAAGCAAAATTTGAGAGGTGGCAGTAGAATATCTAAACTCATTGTACTGCAACGATTGCTTCCCACCTGATACTTAATTCTGTGAATTCTTACATCTCCAAATAAGCACAAGGCAACACCATTTTGTTTCCAGATTGTGGAACTTTTTAAAATTTGAGATTCTTACAAAGCTGTTACTATTTTCCATCAGTATTGTCACATCCTGGAATTGAGTTTGTTGAGCAGGTTTTAAAAGCATGAAACTGTACTTTACTTGGCAAGGGGAGCTTGTTTGAGGCCCTTGATCTAAAGATGCATCTGTCCATTTAGTTCATGTGAGTTGATGCATGGTTTATTTTACATTGCAGATGATCTCAATATAAGTGGCATCATAGCAGCTGTAGTAGTTGTGGCCTTAGTGATTTCTGTATGTGGCCTTGGTGTGTGCTATGCTCAGAGAAAAGGCTATTTTTCAAGTAAGTGAATTTTACCATTCTTTCATAATGATTTTATGTCAAGACAGAGTTTTCTCATAGGATCTTGTTCTCTCTAAGAAACTCTAACAAACTTTGGAGAATATTTTTCAATGTTTTTCTGCTATAAGAAATGTCCACTGGAAGTATATTATGAAATATCATGACAACAATAGAGGAAGAAAAGAGAGCTGCCTGTTGCAACCTCCTGAGCAGATTTTAATAATATATATTAATTTTAGGTTGTAGATTTAAAAAATTATTTGTACCTAAATTGGAAAAGGATTTCCAATAGCTATACATATACCTCACATTTCAGAGAATATTTCCATGAACATAGACTCAAGGAAACTCTGAATATATAGTGTTTCAGTTTAGTTTACTGTAATGTAACTTTCTGAATGGAGTCTAGCTGTGTCCCCCTGCTGGTTCACCAGTGTAATTACAGACAGCTAAAATTCTCATTCAAAATAACAGCATTTTGTTTTTGTACTTGTAAAGAACACTTGTTTATTCTTAATGAGGAGTCATTAAACATATTTTCTTAAATTCTAAATTAGAGTTGACTTGGATATTAGGAATTCATTAGCTAACAATAAAATGTTCCACCCACTCCAAGAGTTCTGTTCTTCTAATTAGAAAGCCTATTGTGAGTTTTGATAGTTATATTTTGAATTTTATTAAGTTTTTGAAATTTTGAATTTTGTCTCTGGGCCCAGAGAGCCTAAAATATTTGCTAAATGGCCCTGCACAGAATAGGTTTGTTAGCTCTTGATTTACAGGGTACACAAAGTAACAAGTGAGGACAAAGATGAGAAAGAAATTAAGAATTAAATGACTCTGTTGTACCATATTATTTCTCACATTAATGATATATACTTATTCTTTTCTAGAAGAAACTTCTTTCCAGTAAGTATATTTTCTTAAATGCCTTTTCCCCCCTAACATCAGCTTATATTTTGTCAATCATGTGTTAAAAGTTAAAAGTGGGATATCAGTGTGTATAGATTTAGTCCTATGGAGAGTTACTGAAAATCATCGAGAAATACATCCTGCCTCAACCCTCATTTCCTGAACTTAATAATTAAATCTCATTCATCAATGAATGAGAAGAAACACTGACACTAATTTCACTTTGTAGGTATTTCTATAGTACTTTCAAAAAATGTCCTTACCATATTTTGCTACATTAAAAATTTTCAACTCCAAGTTTAGTCTTTTTTTTTCACACTTAAATATCAGGTTTTGTTTTTAATACAGTATGAGGGACTGGCAAGACTGTAAGGCAGCAGGGAGAAAAGTATGTCCACACCTCCACAAAATTCTGCTTTTTAGAGCTTATAGTCTAGTAGACAAAGGCAGAAAGTAAACAAACACTATAGAAGGTATTATGGAGAAAATAAAGCAAGTAAGAGAATACAGCATAAGAAGAGTAGGAGTGGAGGTTCATGTTTGAAATGGAAGGTCAGGAAGTGCTTGAACCAAACAGGTAACAGTTGAGAAGGGCCTGGAGTGAGGAAGTGGTGTTCCTCAATAGAGAGCTCCTACAAGGGGCATGACATGGAGGGGGGCAGAGAACAAACAGAGCTCAAGGCCAGGAGCACAGAGCATCAAAGGGACAGCGAGGGAATCAATGTGACTAGAACGGAATGTGGGAAAGAGAGGAGACAAGTGAACAAAAGCAGTGTGCACAGGTTTGTACAGAGACAGATGAGTCTGACTTTAACTGTATGTAAGCAAGAAAGGAAGTTGTTGGAGACCATCGGAAGGTGCAAAGGTTAGAAGCTCATATGCCAATCAGGAAACTACTGCAACAACCAAAACAAGGAAAGATGGTGGCTGGTATCCCAATGGTGGAGTGCGGGATTCAACAGAGATGCAATAGGGTTCTGATTACAGTTGCAAGGATTTGCTGATCTGCTGGTGTGGGCTGTGAGAAACAGAAAGACATAGAAAGTGGAGTTGAGGTTATACAGGACGGTGTTACCACTTATAGAATGTGGAAAGTATGAGAAAAGTGGGGATGAGGAGGTTGGCAAGGTCTATTTGAAACTTCAATATTCCTTAAGCTGCTTAAGACTCTCAAGTAGAAATGATCAGTAAGTGACCATATATATGAATGTGGAGTTTGGGAACTATCTTGGCTGCAGATAGAAATATAGCAGTCACTGGTACATTGGATGTAGATTCAGAAAAGTTCTTGTTTGTGCATTTGATCTATGGCTGCCCTTTTTATTCATAAGGCTGTAGCAGACCCCTTTGGGAGCTGCTGTGGTTATATTGTTATCTTCTAGTCTTTTGAAGACTTAGCTGCACTTCATTTCATTCCCAGATGCCTGCCTCAATCTTAATTTCTCATTCTCACAAATACAGGATGATGAAGTCCAAGTTTATCCAAACTAGTATGCCAACGGGGAGACGGGTTCAGAAAAGTAGGGCAGCCTAATGGGTAGCACCATCTTACTCCACCTCCGTGCCCAAGGCAATTATGAGAATTTTCATTTTTAGTGAATAGAAAATAGAGAAATCTGAGCAGTGATGAGATATCATCTTATGTAAACAGTGGGGCTTACATTTCCTTCCACCAATGTCTTCTTAAGCCCAGTATTAGTTATCAGGCAAAGGGTGTCTTTATTCCTTGAAACTTCTCCTCTCATTTATTAAACATGCACCCTGCTAAAATGTACTAAACTTCTTCCAAACTCCAGAGACTACACAAAACTTTCTATGAACAAAAATGAACCTTGAGACGTAATCACCAAACTTTTAAAATAATTAATGTTAATGTTATTGTCTCTACTATGTGTATTCTGCAAAAATCTATAATATATTGACTTAGGTTACCCAGGGTTAGGCGCACAGGGTTTCACATAAATTGGTAACTTGGTTGCATGGCTTTCTCTGTGAGTGATGTTTATAAATACAAGAAATTATGTTAGGATTATTGCTGTTTGACTAAAATATTATTTTCACTTAAATGAGGGTATGCCTATCAGAATTGAGTGTGAAATCATGTAGTAAATTCTATTTTTCACTTTCCACAAACAGGAAGGGTAGTTCTGCACCTAAAGACACTGCAGTGAGTGAAAACGTGAGTATTAAAATATAATTAAAGAGTGGGTGTGTTTAGGGAATAGGAAAGGGAAGTAATTTCACTTTTAATACATATTGTATTATGCTACCACTGGTTTTTATAGGGACCTAAATTAATGCTCACTTCCTTCCCCTGCCTGGAATGGCCTAATAAAAGTGCATCTGTAGAGCTTTTGGAGGAAGCCATCTTTACTTTACCATACCATTATTTTTTCTCATCGAGTATTCTAAGTTTGCTTCCTTACCATCAGTAGGCCGTGTGTTCTCAGCTCTAATACATAAGAAAACTGAGATGTCCGTTCTTACTAAAGAACCCAGGGACTTCCTGGCAACTTTAACAAGTGAAGTGCTTCCAGCAGATCTGTGGTTCTAGAACTTTCCTTTGATTAGTCAAGGCATTTGGAAAATTTAATATGAAATATCCTCGGTTGTTGCTCAAAGGAATGTTTCAAATCCTTGAAAAGCATAAATAAAAAACCATCCAATTCAGTGTAGGGAACATAATCTAGACATTTTCTTCTTTATGTACTCATACATAACACACACATACACACACAAACACAAAATGAAACAGTAAATACTGTCACTGCTGAGCTTTCAGTTTGTTGAATGATTCAATTTTCTAGAAGTTTTAAAAAAGTGATGCGGTGAGGGAATGAATAACTGGATTTAGAGTCTGGCAGTCCAGACTCTAAACTGTACAGTGATTCTTCTATTTGTCAGTTGTGCTTAAGGTAGAGAAATGACACCATTTTTATTTTAAACATTTCAGTGATTTGAAGACACTAATATTTAACAGCTATTTACTGTTTCATAAAAGTATTTTTTTCCTGTAAAAATTTGGTTTCTTGAACTAACTCCATAATCTTTTTATCACAAAAATTCTTGTTTTATAGTTTACTACACTGAAGCATACTATTCTTTAATTAGAAGACAAGCAATGTGTAATTTCATATCTATTTACATAATTTATGGAAAGAACTGCTTGAGTGTGAAAAGAAAAATAAACCCATCCCTCCGAACAATAAGTACCATGTGTCTCAGTCGAAAGGAAAACAGGTCTTTTAAATTCTTGTCTTGTATTTTTCAGTTGCCCTAATACTTCTGAGCTAATCTCAATTCTGTTTATCCTACATCAGAGTTACTCAGCCTGACAACTTTGAGCCATATTATTCCCTGTTGGTGGATGGGAAGCTGACACGTGTGCTACCCTGCACGCGGCTTATATCCTGCTCATAACAAAGATTTCTCTTGCTCTTATATCCCTCTCATTTCTTTCCTCTCTCAGCAAAGTTGCAAGTATCTTGTTTTCTAAAATTTACTTGCTTAATTCCCTGTAAGGTTCAACCTCTTTAGACTTATGCTCGTTCCTACAGTGAATATAGTTTGACTCTCAACAGATGTATGTGTATTTCTTTAAACATGAATTTACATCATTCAACTTGCTTTTTCTTTCTTTTCCTAGGATTTCAAACACACAAAATCCTTCATAATTTAAAAGAACCCAGTTTTGAGATACACCAAAACCACAGTTGTTATTCAAGTTATTAAAGTATTATAAGCCTCTGCTTTGACTTACATTTGTGAAGAGGAGGGCTAGGAAATGAACTTGGAACCTCCTTACAACTTTGATAACCTCTAGCTCACCTGAAATTGTTATTTTTGTGAGAAAAAAAATGTCATTGTCTAAAATACAACCTGGCTTCCTTTGTCCGATCGAACTAGAGAATCAAAATACTGTTACACTCTGCGTTTTGTGAAATGCTAACAAATGTCTTAACTTCTGAAGAAAGTTATCATAATAAATCATCTTGACTGTGAAGCTAATCCACAGAGTGCAAGTAAAACTGCACACATCTTCTGTGCAAGTCTGATTTCAGGGTGTTCAAAAAATGCTCTGTGACAGATGCAAAAGGAATCTCTGGTCTTGTTCCTACCAGAATCCTCTTTTGTCCCCAAATATAATCCTTGTTACACTGTTCATTTATCACTAGCAAATCCATTCAAGGCGGGCCACAGCACTGGGTCTTATAATCAGGGATGTACACTTTGTGTTTACTTTCCTTTCTGAGAACCAAACACAAAGAGAAATAGCTAAAGGCCAGAACTCAGGCATACAATGTAGCACTCACCTGGTGTGTCACTGATGACAAAAATCTGAGTCAAACACAAACCATAGTGGCCTCATTGGTGACTGCTATTGCTGCCATTTCTATTCTCTGAAACTCCTTTGAAAAGACTCCAATGCCTGACCATTACAGCTTGTCACTAGAGCCTATACAATTAAGCAGCTACCTTTCCCTGCCTGCAATAGTTTCACAGCTGTGCAATTAAATTCTCAGCTGGGTCAAGCCCCTCACCATTAAAGAGCCAGGAGGTTGCCAGTTCTGCATATAACAAAGCAAGAATGTGCAACTACATCTTGATACAGAGAAGGCAAATAAGATACTATGGGTGAAATAAAAAATGGTCTGATCTTCTATGGAAAAGAAATAGCCTGTTATAAAGTTTCAGCTTTTAGAATGGATTATTTGACTCTTATTAAAGATAAAATATAAGCTAGTGCTTGTCATGTTCTTCTGGACAAATCTGGATAAAAAGACCACTTACTTGCCAGGTGCTGGTGGCTCACGCCTATAATCCCTACTACTCTGGAAGCTGAGATCTGAGGATCATGGTTCAAAGCCCACCAGACAGGGAAGTGCATGATATTCTTACTTCCATTCAACCACCAAAAATCTGGCAGTAGAGCTGTGGTTCAGGTGGGAGAGTGCTAGCCTTGAGTAAAACTCCGGGATCAGTGCCCAGATCCTGAGTTCAAGCCCCAGGACCGGCACGCCCCCCAAAAGAATAAATGGCCATAGTACAGCTCTACCTTTGCAAAGTCTGAACATAGACAAGTTGCTTTCAAAGGAATCTGCTTTCTACTCAGTAGTCAATACCAATCTCCCTAATTCCTGAGCAAATGGTTGGCACACTCAGTGCCTAGCCCCCAGCTCACTGGGTGGATGCCTGTTATCAACTTGCTCCCCTTTGTCTTATCTATGGCATCAGACTCACCTCTCATTCCTGGCAGGCTAGCTTCTGTGATATGGCTGTCCCCAAAAGCAAATTATCATCCCATTAGTGAGGGGTCAGCAAATGTTTTTCTTTTGGTGATTCTGGGTTTAAACCCAAAGCTTGTGCACTTGCTAGGCATACACTCTACCACTTGAACCACATGCAAACTTATTTTTTGGAGGGAAAGTTTTGCTTTTGACTGGAGACTAGCCTGGGATGGCATTCAGCTTCCCTTGTAGCTGGAAACACAGGTACACACCACCGTGGTTCAGATACTAACTTTTTGCCCAGGTTGGTCTCAAACCACGAGGCCTACAATTGCCAGCTCCCCAGTAACTGGGATTAGCTATGAGGTCCCACACCTTGCAACAAATCATTTCTAGAAAGGGCAAGATAGTAGGTCTTTTAACCCACATGGATCCTGCTGCGGCCACTCAACTGTCATTGTCCCATCAAAACAGCAGTGGACAACAAAGAAGACCAGAGTGGGTCTGTATTCCAGTTCTCTGGGAATAGGAGTTAGCCCTCACACGTAAGTTTTCCACCTTGGAAGAAGTCAGGCTATATGTTGCCTATGCTTTAACACAAAGATGTGCTTTGGTTTAAGGAATGCTTCATCTCATATTGTGAAGTGCAAGGGGATTTATGACCACCAAAAATGCATCTTTAGACACACCATCACTGGCTTAGCCACTTCAATATAAAGGACACAAATTCTTACTGTGAAATCAAGAGTATATAGTGCCTTAACTTCACTGATAGAAGAAACTCTTTTAAGCCATCAAAGACTACAGAATTCATTATATTCAGTGTAAACACCTAACACTGCCTTTGCCCCAAATCTGTATTATACATTATCTTAAAATATTGTATGCAACTAAGCGAAGACCATCCTGTAAAGAATGCTTTCATCTCCAGCAAGGATGTACCATGCACAGTAACTTTCTGATTAAAGTTTTCTCTGTGGATAATTGGTGTCCAGTCTTTTCATTTGTTCTTGATTTGAGAGACTTGTATACTAATAATTGGGTAAAAATCCCAATAGTTCTTGGTGCAGTTTGGTTTTGTGTTTGTAACATATCAGGACTCTAGAATCCTTAGCAATATTTTCATTTTTTTTTCTCCAGCTCAGGCTAGCCTTGAAGTCATGATCCTTCCTGCCTCAGTATCCCTAGTGCTAGAATTACGGGCATATTACATCATGCCCCCCCCCTTTTTTAATAAGGAGGTTTTAATACTGTTGCTGTTATATCAAGATTTATTTTTAGTTGAGGGATTTAGTCCAACTAAATCTGGAATGATTGATTTTTTTTAATACATTACAAAGAACTTCCTTCATCCTACAGTTGGATTTGTTTGATCATATATTAATAAAACAGCCGAACTTTTTAGTCCTATTTAATAGTTCAGGGGAAGAATCACCCACATCTTGTTCAGTAAAACCCAGGAATCTGCACCCTCTACCATCTGCAGCTACAAGGCTAGTTCTTTAGTAGTTTCAGATTAGAATCTCATCATCTCAAAGTTTGGATATCTGCCAACTTCTCAACTGTTGACCAAAATAAATAGTTCTGAAAATAAAAAGGATTTTTTTTTTTTTTGGGGGGGGAGGGTCTGGTCGTGGGGCCTGAACTCTAGGTCTGGGCGCTGTCCCTCAGCTCTTCAGCTCAAGGCTAGCACTCTACCACTTGAGCCACAGCGCCACTTCCAGCTTTTTTCTTTTTGCTTATGTGGTGCTGAGGAATCAAACCCAGGGCCTCATGCATGCAAGGCAAGCGCTCTACCACTGAGCCATCTTCCCAGCCCCAGGATTTCTTTTTTAAAGACATTGTGTCACTATGCAGCCCCGCCTGACATGGAACTCATAATCCTCCTGCCTCTGCCTCCCTGGCACTGGGATTACAGGGGTGACCACAGAACTAGACAAAGAAACCACTGAACAGTTTATACATGTCAAACTGAGGTGGTAGTGGATGGATGTGAAGGTGTATAAAATTTCATTCTTAGCTGGGCACTGGTGGCTCACACCTGTAATCCTAGCTACTCAGGAGGCTGAGATCTGAGGATCACGGTTCAAAGCCAACCCAGGCAGGAAAGTCTATGAGACTCTTTATCTCCAACTAACCACCAGAAAACTCGAGGTGGCACCATGGCTCAAAGTGCCTTGAGCAAAAGAGCTCAGGGACAGCATCCAGGCACCAAATTTAAGCCCCACAACTGACAAAAACAAAACAAAACAAAACTGTCATTCTTGGAAAAAAAAAAATTTATAGACCACAAAACAGACAGACTCACAATGACTTGGAAAGTTTTAAGACGTGAAGTTAGCATCTTCATAGACCCAGGTCCAGCTGATCCAGTATGTTTTGTAGGCCTTCAGGCCTTTTTTCTTCCCCCCTTAGGAGGGGGTAACAATGTTCAGCAAGAAATATACTCATTACCTTACTGATATAATTCTATCCTCTCTGTACAGCATCTTTACAAAAAATTTTTTTTTATTGTGAAAATACTGTACAGAGGGGTTACAATTACATGGGCAAGATAGTGAGTACATTTCTTATCAAGCATTGTAGCCTCCTCCTTTGTTTACCCTTCCCATCCTCCCTCCCCGCCCCAAGTTGTAAAGTTTGAAGTTTGTTTTCAACATGACAACTTGTACTTCTCATTGTTGCAAAAGGTCCACCTGTATTCTTATTTAAACAACTTGTTTTTCCCCTTCCCCTCCACAAATTATATGGACATCAAATACAGTGAAAGCAGGGGTTATACTGTGGGAGAGGGACATACAAAGCAACAAAGAAATAATCTTATAATTGCGTTAGAAACAAATGCATGAAAGAAAAAAAAAATACATATCTTAGGGTTCATTTTCCTAACATCACCTTATCTGACCTTTTCTGCTTGACTCATACATATACTAGATATTGCAAATAAGGGAAATCATGGGACCTATGTTTCTTTGGGCTTGGCTTACTTCACTTAATTTTTTCCAAGTCTTTCCATTTCCTAACAAATGGGGCAATATCATTCTTTCTGATGGAGGCATAGAATTCCATTGTGTATATATACCACATTTTCTTGATCCATTCATCTACTGAAGGGCATCTGGGTTGGTTCCAGATCTTAGCTATGGTAAATAATGCTACAATAAACATAGTTGTGTTTACAACAAAATTTTTAAAAATTCCTTTCTTTCAAATTTTATTGTTCTCATACTTGCCCTTTGTTCTCAGTCATCTCCAGCCCATCCATTTGTCCTATAATACCTTCATCTTTCCTTTCTCTCCTATCTAAATGCCACAGTGGGACATTTCATTTTCACACACTCTCCATTCAATGTCCACATACCCAACTCTCTTTTACAGATTTACTTACATTTATTCTATCTAGAATACTAATTCTTGTAATTGTAAGATTTAGTTGTTTTTTCCCAGTAGGATTTTGCGTTTTTCTTGGCCTGGCTAATGCCATACTTCTATTTGCATGTCTCACACAACTGAGATGACGTGTATAAACCACTGTGCCCAGATTTTTATAAGTTTAGTAATGGTTTCTTACAAATATTTTGCCTGGGCTGGCCTTGAACTGCAACAAGTCCTACCTCAGGCTTCTGAGTGGCAGAATTACAAGTGTGAACCACTGTTTCCAGCAAATATGCCATTTTCTAAAGAATACTGTTCACTATTCATGAAGAGAGAGTACTACTCTGAAATTATTCAGCTCAACACTCCCCTGGTGCCCTTTATCCTATCGCATATAAGCTTAAATATTTATGTATGGATTAAGGATGGGAAGGAATGAGAGGAGAGATGGAGAAAAGACCATGAGACAGAAGAGAACTAATCTGTCCTAATTTTATAATAGTTTTGTCGATGTTATGAACAGTATTATCCTCTATGTTAACCAAAGGTTAAAGACTTATATGCACTGACATGCCATATTGTCAGGTGTAAAATGGCATGGCTGTTTTTCCCTTAAAAGTATTTTTTAGCTAATTGAGAGGCATGTACAGTTACTGAAATTTTGAGCCTCTTTGTGCTCAAGGCTAGCACTTTACCACTTGAGCCACAGCACCACTTCTGGTTTTTGGATAGTTAGTGAAAAATAAGACTCTCATGGGAACATTTCTGGCAAGGCTACCTTCGAACCTTGATCTATACTTCTCAGCATGCTAAGTAGCTTAAGATTACAGGAGTGAGCCACCAGTGCCAGGCTTAGTTGGATTGTTTAAAGTATGTTCTTTTACAGAACTCTCTTCTCAGTCTGCTGCTAGTTCTTCCTCCTTAGTCCATACTGAACAATAATAGGCTATGATCTGCAAGTGAAGACAAGGGACCTGGGCTTACAGTAGAGAAGACACAATATTAAAAATGATGCTGAGTTCCCTAAGAAAGGTATAACAAAGGATTTATAAACCATTTCTTCATATTCTGGGAGAAAAAAATCTAACATGCTTTCATAGCATTATCTTTCTGAGGACACTATGTCTGTATTACTAAAGCGATCCCCGCATATTGAGAAGAGTCTGACTGGACTATGGGTAAGCAGTATCCAATTTATCCACATGGCCTGCTGCATTATACCCAAATGGAAGAATCCTACAACAGGATTTACTACATTCCAACATATGGGCAATATTACCAATTTATTTGTAATCTGAATTTAATAGAGCATTTGACAGTTGTGAAGCGTATGTTTATTATATTTCTAAGTAGTTATACAACAAATCCATGACAAGTTACCAGATTCACTTCATGTTATTTCTTTAGGATGAGGGTTTTTCCAAGACTTCAAATTTGGGATCTGAGAAGAATAAAAAGGTTTAAAGTTAGCCAGACTGCAACAAATGGATTAGCTAGAATGCTTAAAAACTTAATTGATCAATCTTCTCATTTCTCAGTGAACACGTGTTTTTAAAAATCTATACAGAAACACAAAAATTGCTATTTATTCCACAGTTTCCCTGAGCAAGCTTCTCTATTAATTAGTGTCAAGTATCCTATGCCATTTAACTACAAGTGCCTTATGGAAAAAGATAACTCTAATTTGCCCCAAATGCCAGATGAGGAAATAGGTGCCAGTGAACTGTCCAAGATCACATAGCTAGTAAGTGAACCCTGTCAAGATTTGAGATCGAGCAGTTAAGAAATCAGATTCCCATCATTTAATTTGTATGTCATACAGTCTCCTATGCTAATGGCAATCAATATTCTGAGATCTTCCCATGTACATGTCATAGTCCCAATGAATTTACATGTACCTGTTATTTAAGCCTCAAAAATCAAAAAAGAATATTAAGTTTGGCTCACTGGTAAGTTTGCCTACTATCCTCAAAGCCCTAGGTTTCATCCTTAGCACCATCACACTATACACACAAAAAATTAATATCCTCCATCTAAAATAATACCCTACAGAAAAAAATCTGTGATTAGAGACTTACCTTCAAATTTGAAGGTGGGGAACGTTGTCATGTCTCCTTTCCCATACATTTGTTGAAGTTTAAAAATCTCTCTCTCCAGCTCTTGCTGATACTCTGGGCCAGTATCAACAGGTCCTTGAGATGACCTATTGTGCAAATGAGCAAATAAAAACTGTTATACACTAGTTTCAAAAAGCCATATCTCTCTTCACTATCAAGTTTCACTAAATTTTTTAAATTACTCATGTTGGGAAAAGTTGACTTTTTAAAATAAGAGAACAAGTCTGTGCACTTGAACTTCAAGCCACACTATATCAGCACATGATTTCATACCAATGGGTTAATTTCAAGGAAATCTCTAACATTAAAGACTCAAAGATGAGTTCCTTTGGAATGTCAGCTGTGCCATTTAGCAAATTCATAGATCATGGCAAGGCAAGAATCACCCTTAAACTTTACTTTCTATATCTAAAAATA